CCTATCCTTTTAAGAACTCCTCAGTCAGAAGACTTAGTCGTTGCCCAGGGATGTCTTGATCACTCAAGGAATTTAAATGCTTAGATGGCCAGCACTCAGTCCCTGGATTTACCCGAGGGCAGAAAAACGGATTCTCATCCTACCAAATAATAAAGCAAATCTCACGCTGTTAGCAAGAGGGTGTGCCGCGGGGGACATCTGTACATGAACCCTTAATATTTTCAAATACAGGGTTATTCCAGTGTCTTCTGCCGGCTCGTAAAGTGCACCAATATCCACAACACAAGGGCCCCCTATCAGAAGAGTGACCTCTTTCTAAACGTTCGTAAAAAGGAAGCTGAGAGAGACCAGTCTGTCCAGCACCGTGAATCTATCCCGCCTTCAAAGCAGCTGCCCCCACGGCAAACAGAAGTCGTCTGCAAGCCACACCGCAGGCCGAGAGGGGGTCACAGGACTGAGACCCAGAGTGGCTCCAGAGTCTCAAGCTCCTGAGCGACCCGACTGTCGCTGCAGCTCGCTTTCTGGGATGTTTGAAGAGCCGGGAGGCTTGGTTCTAAAAACAGTGCAGGGGCCATGCCCAGGCTTCCTCCCCTCGCGAATAAATGTGCACAGAATGAACCTTGAAGGAGAACTCTAGGTCCCGATCCTAACACTGCAGAGAGAAATGCCACACTTTTCAATGTCGAAATTAAGGGCTCCTAACCCACTTCTCCTTGCATGGATCTAAACCAGATCTGAAGGAAGAAAATACATCGCACATTGACCTTTGCTATGAAATAACATATGGCTGACCACTACTCTCCAAGAAATGTAGAGGCGAGGGAAAATGACCTCTGTCCCAGGTGCCTGGTGAGGACATCAGAGAGTGGGTTCTCTCGCAGAGCACCCCGAGTCCTAATTAGCAACGTAAACCAGCATGCCTACTCGCACACCCGCTCCAGCAGAAAGAGAAACTCCCGGTTCCTCCCACCTGTGGGCCTGGCCTGCTGTGTGTCACAACCAGTCTCTCTGTTACAGAAGCAGGTCCTCCAGCACCTGACTTTCCTGAAGGTCTGTCACAGCCTCTAAACTCTGGGGAGACTGCACCACCAACTCCAACACCTGTGAGGACCAGGACCACGAGGGCAGGGAATCGAGACTGAAGTCACTGCCGCCGGCCAAGTCATTTAGAGGCCGAAGGAGGTGTGAAGCTCGGCAGGGACTGGAGCATCTTCACGTCCCACGTGCGGGGATGTACAGGAATTAGGAAAAGCTTTACATCACATATACATGCAAAAAACATTTACCGTGTAGCAGCTAAAGAACTTATTTGTTATTGTTGTTTTAAAATTACTTGGCTTGCAAATGCCAGGCGTCCTCCAGCTCTGGTGGCCGGCCCCACCTGCCCGCGTGCACCGCCTGCTCGCGCACCGCCTGCTCGCTCACCGCCGCCGAGACCAGAAAGCCCCTGCCCTATGAGGGACAGGCTGGACCGGAGGGAGGACTTCTACGCACAACCCAGCCACCTGTCAATCAGACACACGCCTTGATCCACTTCATCCAAAAGCACCGTGGTAACTTCCTGACTCCAAGAGGTGTGTCCAGCCGTCCAGGCCACTCAAGTGCCAGTTACTCCACGATGCTTCTCTGCTGCCCTGGCTGAAACGGATTCCCGTCGCCGAGGGGTTTCGAGAGGGTCGGTCTCCCAGCACTCGCTGCCCTGTGCCACAGGCTGTGTGTGAGGGAGGAGGGCGGGTGTGTTCTCTCCGTGTGCCACAGGCTGTGTGTGAGGGAGGGGGCTGGGCGTGTGCTCTCCGTGTGCCACAGGCTGTGTGTGAGGGAGGAGGGCGGGCGTGTGCTCTCCGTGTGCCACAGGCTGTGTGTGAGGGAGGGGGCTGGGCGTGTGCTCTCCGTGTGCCACAGGCTGTGTGTGAGGGAGGGGGCTGGGGTGTGCTCTCCCTGTGCCACAGTCTGTGTGTGAGGGAGGGGGCTGGGGGTGTGCTCTCCGTGTGCCACAGGCTGTGTGTGAGGGAGGGGGCTGGGCGTGTGCTCTCCGTGTGCCACAGGCTGTGTGTGAGGGAGGAGGGCGGGTGTGTGCTCTCTGCAAGACTAGCAGTCACTGGAAGTCAGAGGCACTGTCCTTCCGTTTTTTAGCCCCCACAACGCCTGGGCAGGGCTGTGAAGACACCTGCAGAGTGAAAGTTTGGATGCACAGGGAATGTGCGGACCTTGACCCAGCTCTCTGGGAGAACAGGTCTGACCCAGACCACCTCACTGCTGCTGTGGTCGTCACAAAACTGAAACCGTGGTCAAGCAACAAGTTCGCACCCTGGCTTTTCACTAATTAGCTGCATTAATTTATTTAAAACCCTGCATTTCCCGCTGTGCACCTCAGTTTCCCTGCCTCTCAAATGCAAACACCAGGTCCTGGGATTACAGTGAGGATACAGTTCATTTCCATATACTTTTAGAAAGTCTAATTAACTAACCAAATAAATATCAGACAGAGAGAGCACACCAGAGTGAAAAGTCAATCTATAGTATTATGCTAAATACAAAGGCAGGTGCCCTTTAAAAGGCAACAAAGAAGGTGAGTCACGGGGAAAATCAGCTGCAAACCGAAGCCCCCTCCTAGCTGCATGGCTTACCCTCCTCCCTCTGTGAAATGGGGTCTAGTGACGATGCTGTCGGCCCCGTGTGACTTCACACACGCAACGTGCTCAGTACAGGGCTTGGCACATGGTAAGTACGCCTTCCATGTTGGCGGTCATTGCAATGGTTATTATCAGTATTATCCGCTTGTGTACTACTAACACACAGTAGGCATTCCAGAAATGTTTGTAGAAATAACTCAAACATTGGAAAGTTACTTGGTTCCATTCTCTTCCATATGTAGACAGTGTTGTTTTCCAGAACAAAGTAGCCAAAAGAGTTGGCCATGCTGTCCCCACCAACTCTGTGTGTTGGCACTGTAGAGACCCTGACACAGGAGTCCAACCCCAGACGTCCACACACAAGAGAGATCACAGGACCTAACGGTGTCCAGGCAGACATAAATGACAACATTTCCCATCCTGTAATATTGTATTTGGCTGAAAAGGATAAGGTTACACCAGTGATAGTTTCCCGCTTGACACTGCTGTCCTGTTGAAATGCATCGAGAGACACTCAAGGCAGATCTTTAAAACAAACATCTCTGCACACCTCTGAGGCACCCGCTGGGCTGAGCACAGCTCCCTGTGCAAGTGGCGTCTGCTCCTGAACGTCCCCACTCAGCCCCCCTCAGTGCCCCCCTGGCTGTGTCAGCAGCAAGGGCGTGGAGGGACGCGGGACTCTGATGGGAGCCCAGCCTCCCCCCTGGTGGCACCTGGGCCCTCCCTGGAGTCACAGCCCAGCTCCGCTCCGCTGACAGTCACGGGCAGCTCACACCCCGCCCGGCCCGGAACGCCCGGTGCCGACAGACTCCACTCACGCTCCAACACAGGAACAGGGCACCTGGCCCGAGAAAGCAAGGCAGGATGACAGTGCAGTGCCCCATCCCCCTCTCTCCATCTCAGGAAAGGGCCGTTTAGTACAAGAGCTAAACATAAGAGGGAGAGACAGCAAATCTTCACCAGAAGAAACTACAGGCTGGGTGGTCACTGATGCTCAGCACTACTCAGGACCTCACAGATTTGGGGGGGGGTGGTTAAATTGGTTTTTTGTTTTTTTAATCCTCAACTGAGGCTATGCTTTCATTAATTTTAGAGAGAGAAGAAAGAGAGAGACAGACAGACAGAGAAACATCACCTCCTGTATGCGAACCCCCGACCTGGATCGAACCAGTAGCTTTCCGGTGCACAGGGCAGCGCTCAGCCCACAGACCTCCCAGCTTTAAGAGCAAGAGCAAAGCTTGCAGGAACTGAGCTCTTTCCCTTCCCTTCCGCAAAGCACCTTTTCAGGACCCCCTGAAGGGCACTCCTGCTGGAGGGAGGGAGGCTGGTGGGCCAGAAGAGGTCTGTCAGGGTTTGGCCTAGAGCAGGGGTTCTGCAAGGCCAGAGGTAACCTAGAGCCAGGCTGGCACTTATGCACTGAACTGCTCAGGACCCACCCAGACTAGGAACATCAAGCTCCAATTCAGAGAGGTGACCCTGTCACCACCCCACCTGGGATGCACCCCTGCAGGGAGCTCTGGTCTCTCAAGCTGTCTCCACCTGACGCCTCCCAGCCTTCAAGGAGAGAAGGCCCCACACAGCCCAGGACACTGTCTCCTGAGCTGCTGCAAGCTGCCCTGCAGGGGGTGTGACAAAGTTTTCCAAGCAAAACCTCCTTCCCAGGCAGAGAAAAAGCCAATTCACCTGCCCATCTGATCCACAGGAGAGGGAGAAGGGGAGGTTTTACTTGTAAAGCGGAAGGGAAATATATTCCAATGGCTACTGCAGCTAGAATGCAGCCCCCCACCCCTCACGCAGGAGGGGGCTTTACCGTCTGCACAGGAAGCCCAGAGGTGCCCCACAGCCCCAGGTGTGTGTGGCGGGCCGCTGCACTTTCCTCCACACCAGGCACACCCTGCTGGAGCCCGGCCCTTCAAGACTGTCCTTGGAGAGAAGCCCTAGCTGGCTGAGACTGCCCACGGGGGTGGAGGTGCCCGGAGCAGGGTGAGAACGGCCCTCCGCTGGTTGGGTGGGGAGAGCATAGAGCACACTGCACCCATAGCCTGGTGCAGACACACAGCCTCGGGAAAGTGATCTTTCCTTATCCAGTGCCCTCAGCGGGCACCCTCCCAGGCCCCTCAAAGTTACAGACTCGTTCTCCCCATAGTCCCCCTACTTCCACAACACCCAGGAAGACGCTGGTGGGAAATACTGCAGCGGTGCAGAAGCTGGGTGAGCCGGAGGTGACCCAACGTGGCAGAGCGGTGCCCATCCGCGCCCTGGACACCAGTGTGGGGAGCCGGACCGGCTGGAGGAGACTCGCGAGGATGCTGAGGCGCGCAGGCACACAGGGTGGCGGAGGAAGGGGCCTTCTCCCCCTCCACTTACCAGGACAGCTTGAATCCTTTCATGGGTACAGCCGCGGCAATCCGCCGACCCTGTCCTCAGCATCCCTGTGCCAGCTCCAGAGGTCCCAGGACATATTTGAAAAGATGACGAAGTCCCGAAAGAACAGAGTCCCATGTCATGTGACTTGAACACAGAAAGGAAGAGAAGGGAGAGAGAAAGCGGGCAGCCAGAACTGCAGTGTTGCTTCGCCTGCTTCCCTTCCCCCGGGAGGGAACCGGGCTCCTGCCCCGGCCAAGGGCAGCTTCGGGCTGGAGCTGCCGCCTGTCCAGCTGCTGCGGCCACTGCCGGCCTCCGACGAGGATGGGGAGTGTGGGCAAGGCTGCCAACCAGCCCAGGAGTTGCTGACAACAGGCAGGCTGGCCGGCCACCCACCCACCCTCACCTCCTGCCAGCTCCGTGAACCTGACAGCCCCAGGGGAGAGCGAGAGCCTAGCAGAAGCTGCGCCTCTTCCCCCAGGCGGCGGCTCCTGCAGCTCCATGTAATCTCCTAATCAATGCAGTGCCCCAGCAAAGCACTGCCAGCCACTTCCGCCCACTTAAAGACACAGCGCATGTTTTGTCCCAGGATGGGACAGAAAGTCAGGGAGAGGGTGGGTGAGCCATGCAATTCCGGAGAAGCAAGAGGAGAGGGACAGTAATATCTGAAGATGAGCATGTCCACGGGCATCCATCAACAGGTTAAAAGCCCCACCCTGGTGGAGGGGAGCCTGGTCCCAGGCCCTCAGCAAACCTGGGGAATCGAATCTGAGCAGACCAGAAAGGCTGGTGGTGCTGTTTAGGTGAAGGGAGCAGGGAGCTGCACAGACCACCTTAAATAGAACCCGCACCCTTTCCAGGAGGGGCGGAGTCAGCGCCACTGCATCGGAGCAGCTCACCCCACCACTCCGCTCCGTCCCTACCTACCAGGGAATTACCTTGCAGACTTCTGGGGTGAGTGATGAGGCAGCCACTTATGGTGGCAAAGCAGTGCCCAGCTCCCAGTCCTGAGGCCAGGGATTCTTTTAAGGTGGCCGCCAGGGCCGGGGGTAGGATTTAAACACCATTATTACCAGTGCAGGGCTCTAGAGATGGAGTCCAGGCACAGCACCAAGTGAGGAGGGACCGGATTTTCAACGTCAACTCAAACATACACCTCATGGGAACAGCGAAAAGGTTCCTCTTAAAACCCTCCAGGTCGGGGGGTGCCTAGGAATGAGTTCCAGCCCCAGCAAGTTCCCTGGCTGATTGCTTCTGTCTGTCCTCCCCTGGATTATGGATGATCTGGGTCAGCGCAAGAGGGGATTAATTATGAAATAGCAGCCTTCAACTGAACCATAAAAAGCCTTTACCCTGAAACTCACCCCAAAGCACTCTACACACATGCGTGTTTTATATGCATGACATCTATACAAGACCCTCTAGATAATACTCTTAAGAAACACCAGAGCCCGAATCCCAGTTGGTAACACTCACTGCACCTGTCATTCCCTGTTCATTATCTGCCTTCCTCTCTTTCGATGGCAGACTGAGGGCAGGACTCGACCTGGCTCAGCTCCCTCTCCCTGCTGACCAGCAAGGGCCTAACGGAAGTGACCTTATCCAAACCTAGTTAAAACACTGCAGTCTCTGTCCAGTGTCAGGTGGTCCAGCAGAAATCCTCTTCAAGGAATCCTGAGCTTCCTGAGATGTACCCCAAAGCAGCTCCAGGCTATGCAATGTCCCTCCATCCACAGCCCCCGTGCAAGAAAACACTGAAATACTTTCTAGACTTCTAACCACGAAGATAGTTATGTTTTTAGAGCTCTTTAAACCTGTATCCAGGCCACACTTCCAGCACAGGTATTGTAAAGATGCAATAGATACCAAAAGTGCACACAGTTCTCCTTTATGACCTAGATAAGCCAGCTCCCAGGTCATGTGACTGAGCCCCTAGAGAAAGTCATTTCAGGTGTTCCAAGTAGATGAGACTATTCTCATCCTGCCCTGTCACCTGCTCTGATCACAGGTAACACACAAAACCTGGATCAAAGCTCTCCAAATATTAGAAACACATTACTGTAAATGTTAAATTCTTTAGCTTTTACTCTTTACCTGCTTAAAAAAAAATTTGTTGCGAGTTTATTATGTCAGGCACCGTGCTAAGTATTTTCATGCATTATCTCATTTAATCCACACCTCCATATTATAAAGCAATGACTATCGCTATTTGCCTGGTGATGCAGCTGACAAATAGAGGGTAGTGTCTTTTTAAAAATAATTTTTATTGATTTTTTTTTTTTTTTGAGAGAGAAAAAAACATCAATGTGAGAAACATCAATTCGGCTGCCTCCCCCCCCCCACACACACACACCCCCCCGATCTGTTTGGCCTGATGCTAAACAGTTAGCAAGCTGCAAGATGGGGACTTGAATGCAACTGTGTTCAACTCCAAAGCCCATCTCTTAATCACTACAGATGCTCAAAACATCTCCTCTACCCAACAAGCTGATTTATAAGGACTCACATGCTCCCAGGACAAAAAGAATCCAGGCAAGGTAGGAAAGAGACTAAAACAAGCTGGCTGCTTCTTCCATAACTAATGAGTGACCAGGCTTGAGAGAGTGTGTGCATGTGTGTGTGCGCACGTGTATGCGTGTGCGCATGTGCATGTGTGTGTGCGCGCGTGTGTGAAAGCATGAAGGGAGGGACACAGAAGGGCTGAGCTGGTTGGGAGACAGCCCTCCACCTTGAACCCCACTTGGCTCTGGTTTTCGAATCTGGGCTTTCATGGAGCTCCGGACCCTGGCTCCGTTGTTGTGGTCCGTATGGAAAAGCTCAAATACAAATTAGACATGGCTCTAAAGAGCCATGGGACCACTGTCCTTCCCTGAAGTCAGTTTACGAGGGAGGCCAAGCAAAATTAAGGAGCAGTCTTCATTTCATGTATTTTCCCTCTTTCATTTTCTCCCAGAGGGCAGACTGCTTTGTGCGGTTTAAAGGTTCTGTGAAGGTAAGTCTTCAGTACTGACATATTCTAGACTACTCTGGGGACGCATATAGACTAGTGATAAGGCAGGTGCATTGAATTCTCCTGCTTCCACCTGACTTTACAATCTGGCTGTTCCTTGATGTGCATATTTTAGAAAGAGTAAGAATTTTTCTTAAAAAAACTTAAATTCTGAATTCTTCCATTTCTGACAGTATGGCAGATCAGGCATCCCCATGGGCCTTCCCGCTGAACCACGTAGGAACGCTGGAGAGAATGAAACATTTCGGGAAAAATGTTTGATGAGCTATCGAAATACTATCTAAATCAGAAGTATTTGGAGGCCACACATTTAGTGAGGAAAGAAACCAAGAAAATTAAGGAAAAGCCTTGTAGTTGCGTTTTCAAAGAGGGCATTTGCAGAATCTGTGGCCCGGGCTTTGGTCTTCATGGCTTCAAAGAACAATGGACACGAGACAACGCCAAAAGCCCAAAGGTGACAGGTGTGCACGGAGCTCTCGCAAAGCAGGTCCACGCTGGCCAAGTCGGCACCTGAGAATAAACTTGAAAGAAACTCACAAATGCTGCGAAGGACCTACGAGGACTCTGCCTGACTTAAACCCTGGCAGTGAATGGAGGAGGAAAAACTATCTCCCCCAATAAGTTGTAATTACAAACAGATCCTCACACAGATCGCTGCCTGATTATTTACCAAACAATTCACACAAAAAAACAATGTACAGAAGGAAAAGGCTAATAAACTAAGACCATCTGATCATCAAAATTGATCATAAATAGAGAAAAAATAAGGCTTTTCTAGGAGAAAATATTTGTAACATATAATTGAAAACAGAATTGTTGTTGCCCAGCAGGTGTGGCTCAGTGGACTGAGCATCATCCCATGGACTGAGTGCGGGTTTAATTCGCCGTCAGGGCACATGCCTCGGTTGTGGGCTCGATCCCCAGTAGGGGGCGCTTCTCTCTCACATCAATGTTTCTCTCTCTCCCTTCCTATCTCTCTAAGATAAATAAATAAAAACATATTAAACAAAGAAAAAGGAATTGTTCACAAAATACATTTTAAAATTATAAAAATCGATAAGAAAAAGGAATAAAATTATAAAAATAGAAAAATGATTAATAAGCATTTTCAGAAGATAAAATGAGCAATAAATATATTAAAAGTTCCTTAACCTCACTAATACTCAGGAAACTGCAAATTTAGAGAAAAAAAATTTTTTTTCTTTATTGATTTTAGAGAGAGAGGAAGGGAGAGGGAGAGATAGAAATATGAATGAGAGAGAACATCAATTGGGCGCCTCCTGCATGACCTTCACTGGGGATCTGGCCCACAACCTGGGCATGTGTCCTGACCGGGAATCGAACTGGCGACCTCTTGGTGCATGGGTCGACGCTCAACCACTGAACCACTCCGCTGGGCAGGAAACTACAAATTTAAATTCCAACGAGATGCCATCTCAGACTCATCTAACAGTCAAAAATTAAGAAGTCTTGCACTATCAAGGCTGGAAAGGAGCTGGTGGACTGTGCACTGGTTCAACTACCCCAGGAAACTATTTGGAGTCATGTAGTGATGTTTAAAACCTGCATCCCCCACTAACAGGTTTCCCCCACTGACTGCCAACCAATGAAGAATACAGTGTGATTCCTGTATAGAACAAACACATAAAATGATAAAACATAAAACAATAGATAGATTATATTATACCCATATAGATACATTAGTCCCTTATCCACAGTTTTGCTTTCTGTGGTTTCAGATACCCTTGATCAACTGGGGTCCAAAATTATTAAATAGAAACTTCCAAAAATAAACAATTTGTAAATTTATTTATTTTTTTTATTATTATTTTTTTTATCCTCACCCGAGGACATTTTTCCTTTTTTTGTTCAGGTAGAGTGGGAGGGAGAGAGAGGAACAGAGAGAGAGAGAGAAACATCGACGTGAAAGGAACACATCGAGTGGCTGCCACCCACACAACCAACCAGGGCCGGGGACAAACTGCAACCGAGGTACATGCCCTTAGCGGGAACCAAACCCGGGTCTCTCAGGACCACAGGCCGACGCTCTAACCGCTGAGCCAAACCGGCCAGGGCAACAATTTGTAAGTTTAAATGGCACGCCATGCTGAGTAGAGTGATGAAATCTCATACCATCTTGCTCCAACCTGCCTGGGACACAAATCATCCCTTTGTCCCTTTGTCCAGCACATCCCACTGTCTAAGCTCCCCACCCACAGCCACTTGGTATCACCGTGACGGCACAGAATTGCAGTACTTGTGTTCAAGTAACCCTTATTTTATTTAATAATGGCCCCAAAGAGCAAGTGTAATGATGCTGGCAATTCGGATCTGCCAGAGAGAAGCCGTATAATGAAAAGATATATATTCAAAGAAAAAAACATAATACACACACACACACACAGGCTTCAGTACACGGAGGAGGGGTCTTCTAATGTATCCCCCATGGATACGGGGAAGGCTACTG